ATCATGTGTGTGTTTAAAGTTGACTTATATCCAAACCTTTGTCCACAAACATCACAAGCAAATGCTTTCTGTCCTGTGTGGACTATCATGTGTGTGTTTAAAGTTGACTGTCGTCCAAACCTTTGTCCACAAAGATCACAAGCAAATGGTTTCTGTCCTGTGTGGACTATCATGTGTGTGTTTAAATGTGGCTTCTGTCCAAACCTTTGTCCACACAGATCACAAGCAAATGGTTTCTGTCCTGTGTGTGCTATCATGTGTGTGTTTAAATATGATTTAGAGGTAAACCGTTGTCCACAAATATCACAAGCAAATGGTTTCTGTCCTGTATGGACAATCATGTGTCTGTTTAAATTCGACTTCTGTCCAAACCTGTGTCCACAAACATCACAAGCAAATGCTTTCTGTCCTGTGTGGACTAGCATGTGTGTGTTTAAATGTGACTTATGTCTAAACCTTTGTCCACAAAGATCACAAGCAAATGCTTTCTGTCCTGTGTGGACTATCATGTGTGTGTTTAAATGTGACTTATGTCCAAACCTTTGTCCACAAAGATCACAAGCAAATGGTTTCTGTCCTGTGTGAACTATCATGTGTATGTTTAGATTACCTTTTCTGTTAAATTTTTTTCCACAGTCTTCACAACTAAATGAGTTCTGTCTTGAATATTTTTTCTTGATTGAGCCTCCAGGTTTCTTCACTTCAAAACATTCCTTGGTATCCAAACAACTTGAAGACATCACTGACTGACTTGTCTTGTGAAATTGTTTCCCATACTCAATGAAGCTGCAAGACTTCTTGACAGAGTGTACACCTGACTCAGGAGCTCGGCTCTCCTTCCAGTCTTTGTCACCATCTTCTGGTTCTGATTCATAGTCTGATAAGTCTTTTAGCTGAGAGTCAGAGTCATTTACATTATCATCGTCATCATCATCCTCACTGACTTCAGTCTCTGAAGAGCTGCATTCATCTGCATAAGTATTTAGATCTGGTTTCCTGGTAGTCTCTGCTCCTCCACAGTCCTCTCCACCAGTTGCTGCTTTTATCTGATCAACTGAGCTGCTGGTTGCAAGATCTTCCTCCTTTACTTGGTGCTGATGAAGCTGTAAAAACAGAGGTTTCTCTTCATCTTCCTCACTCTTCAAAGGAGCAGCAGTGAATGCAAACCCGGTGTCATCAGTCTCCTTTTTCACACATAACTCCTCTCCCTTTTGACTGGTCCACAGTTCCTCCTCTTCCTCCTTTATGTTGATGGTATCTGGATCCTGTTGGTTCACACCAAGCATCCATACTCCAGGAGCTTCTTCTTTAACCAGCACCATCTGTTGAACATCTGCAGGGAACAATGAAAACATGAACATCAGGCACAATAATAACTTTATATTCACACATACAGTGGTGCTTGAAAGTTTGTGAAGCCTTTAAAACTTTTTAAATTTCTGCATAAAATGACCTAAAACAACATAAGAGTTTCACAAAAGTAGATAAAGAGAACCCAGTTAAACAAATGAGACAAAAATATTATACTTGTCATTTATGTATCGAGGAGAAATATCCATCACTCAGCCCTCTGTGAATAGTAAACAGCCATCAGTGTGCTAATGATCCATTGTTAGGCTGATGGTCCTTCTTGATCATGTGAGCAGCTGGTTTTGGCTGTCAGCAGCAAACTGGTTGATCCACTCTGAGAAGGTGCTATTTATAAGACTGAGCTGAATATAGCACTTCAGACTGAAGAAGTCTTTCGGATGAAAGATAAAACATTTTTACATTTTTTTTTTTTGAACGTCCAGAGGACCAGACTTAACTTTTTTTAGATCCAATATTAAATTTTTCCTGACATTTGTCAACTGTTTTATCAATAATGCACTAAATTACCTCAATTGTCGGGCTTTAGAACACTCCTGTCTTTAAGCCGCACTTATTAAATATAATATACATCATGATTTTGTACATAAGACGTTCCAATTATTTTCATCAGGAACTGTACCCCCAGACTGCTCTGTCTGTGTGCAACTTTCTTGTTGTAGTACAAGAATCAGCCAGCAAATGGTGCTTCACAGAATATAGCTTGCTTTCAACAAACACTCAGACTGCAAGATCGTCACGAGTCTTCATGAAGCTTTGTTGTCTGACTCATGGTTACAACAATTATACCCAGTGGTTAATTTAAGCCGGTCTCTGCTGAAACAAGATTTGGGAACTCTCTCATTTTGACCGTGTGTGTTAAGGCAACTGTTTGCTTGGATCTGGCAACTCAAATCTCCACCACTAAGTCCAACGTCATTGCGCATTTTTATTTAGATTATTTATTAAAAATACAACAAGAGGAGACATTGTCCATGTCTGTGGAGTGGATGTTCCGGCCGCACTACGCACACCACCTCGCGCACATGCTACTGCCCAGCAGACACGGATCGCATGTCCCGCGAGGAGCGTCTTCATCCCCATTCAGCTGTGTGCCCTGCAGACAGTGCATGTTTTACGCACAGGTGGTCTCCAGACAGCTCTGCAGAGTGTGCCCACAACTGCTGATGTGTCAGAACTCCTGCATACACTACCACGGTGCATAAAATTTCGGACAAAACAAATAAAAAAGCTTACAGTAAAAAAAAAAAAATAAGAGTGAAATGTTTGATGTGGGGCAGCACGGTGGCGCAACTGGTAGAGCTGCTGCCTCTCAGCGAGCAGGTCCCTGGTTCAAACCCCGATCCAGGGGCCTTTCTGGGTGGAGTTTGCATGTTCTCTCCGTGCATGCGTGGGTTTTCTCCGGGTACTCCGGTTTCTTCCCACAGTCCAAAAACATGCATGTTAGGCTGATTGGTAACTCTAAATTGTCCCTAGGTGTGAGTGAGAGAGTGAATGGTTGTTTGTCTCGTTTGTCTCCATGTGGCCCTGTGATGGACTTGCGACCCGTCCAGGGTGTACCCCGCCCCTCGCACAGTGATTGCTGGACATGGGCACCGGCGAACCCCGTGACCCGAAATGGAATAAGCGGGTAAAGAAAATGGATGGATGGATGTTTGATGTGTATTAACATCACGTTACAAAACAATGGCACTAAATTGTCAAAATAACAGCGATCAAAATGTCAAAAAGACAGTGCAATTTATTATCTAAAATAAATGGATGGATTGCCCTTAGCTGGACAACTGAGAATTGAAGCACCTGAAGGTAGTGGTAATCGAGATTGGGGCAGAACAACGAGCAGTTTGGGCCAGACAGTGAAGTGTGTGCGTGTGTGTGTGTGTGTGTGGGGGGGGGGGGGGGGACTTGACAGAATAAGAGCTGCACTCACATACAGGCTTGTTGTTGTTGCTCTCTAATATACGTAGTAATTTCAATCCAACCTTTATTTATACAGGTTGTTAGTTTCATTGGGTCTCAAGGACTAATTTACAAGCTGTTTTTAATTAATTTAAATGTATACAAATGTTTACCAACCCGTTAAAATATACCAAAATGCAGGAAATGGCATCTCTTTTATTCCAAATTTGTTGGGGGAGGACCCACGGAGCACCTCTGCCACCTCTTTATGATGCACCAAATGCTCTCTATAGGTGAAAGATCTGGACTGCAGGCTGGCCATTTCAGTACCCGGATCCTTCTCCTACGTAGCCATCATGTTGTGATTGCTGCAGAATGTGGTCTGGCATTATCGTGTTGAAAAATGCAGGGTCTTCCCTGAAAGAGATGACGTCTAGGTGGGAGCATATGTTGTTCCAGAAACTGAACATAGTTCTCTGCATTAATGGGGCCTTTCCAGACATGCAAGCTCCCCATGCCACAAGCGCTCATGCAACCCCATACCATCAGTGATGCAGGCTTCTGAACGGAGCGTTGATAACAACTTGAGCTATCCTTGTCCTCTCTGGTCCAGATGACATGGCGTCCCAATGTTCCATAAAGAACTTCAAATCGTGACTCATCTGACCACAGAAAAGTCTTCCATTTTGCCACACTCCATTTTAAATGACCCCTGGCCCAGTGCAAACGTCTGAGCTTGTGGAGCTTCCTTAGAAATGGCTTCCTCTTTGCACTGTAGAGTTTCAGCTGGCAACAGTGGATGGCACAGTGGATTGTGTTCACTGACAATGCTTTCTGGAAGTATTCCTGCGCCCATTCTGTTATTTCCTTGACAGTGGCATTCATGTTTGAGGTGCAGTGATGTTTAAGGGCCCGGAGATCACGAGCATCCAGTAGAGTTTTACGGCCTTGACCCTTACGCACAGCGATTGTTCCAGATTCTCGGATTCTTTTTATGATGTTATGCACGGTTGATGATGATAACTTAAAAGTCTGCTATTTTACGTTGGGTAACACCATTCTGGTATTGCTGCACTATCTTTCTGCGCAACAATGGTGGAATTGGTGATCCTCTTACCATCTTGGCTTCTGAGAGACACTGACACTCTGAGAAGCTCTTTTTATACCCAATCATGTTGTCAATTGACCTAATTAGTGTTAATTGGTCTTCCAGCTGTTAGTTATATGCTCAATTTCCTTTTTCCAGCCACTTATTGCTATTTGTCCCAACTTTTTTGGGATTTGTTGACACTGTGAAAGTTTGAATCAACATATTTTTTCTTTAAAATGTTACATATACTCAGATTAAACTTTTGATCTGTCATCTATGTTATATTACGAATAAAATATCGACATTTGCCATCTCCACATCATTGCATTCAGTTTTTATTCACAATTTGTTTAGTGTCCCAACTTTTTTGGAATCCGGTTTGTAAATAAATTTGATGTGATTCTCCTCAGCACAGCTCATATGAGGAACAGCCCCTCCCTCCCCGTTGTCTTTTTTCCCCCCTGTAGGGGTTTTCTCTCCACAGACTCTTGAGCTCCTGCAGCAGAGTTAATCACGCTCAGCTGCTGGCCATCTCCCTAACTGCCTCCAGGACTATATATGAGGCTGCAGACTTGCTTCATCTAGTGCCGGAGCATATCTTGTTGAGGGTACTTGTGCTCCTGGCCTTTCAGTGTTTATATATATATTGAAGTACTTACCTGTGTGTCTTCTTAATTTCTGACAGAACTTGGTTTTCCCTGCGCCTCCAGTCCTGGACGTTTCATGTATACCTCTAGATTGATCTGTAGTTACCAGAGCTCAAATTTCTCCTCGTGGACTAACTAAACTACTACCCCTCCTGCCTCGACCTCCACGTTCCACCCATGCATCGACCTCTTGCTGGAATTTGGATCCATTATATCTCAACCCTGTGTCACCCCACCTGACATTCCCAGTAAGAGGAATATTATTTTTTCCGTCCATCATATCATCCATCCTCCAACCAATAAGACACTAATCGTCTCCCCTTTCCCTTCCAGGGGTTTTCCAGTTTCAGCTCCTGTGTATATAAGACTTTATTATAATTATTATTATTATCATTGTAAAATAAATCATCTTTTATTTATGATCCTGAGTCTGTTGTCCTTCAGTCCGTTCTTTCTGGGAACACTCCGTCAATATGACACCCTCCTCTTGTTGTCTCCTCCGTTCTATTTAATGCCCCGTTTAAGCTTAAATGAGATATTGGTATTTAAACACATATTTATTGTACACAGAATTTTTTAAAACTTTTATTTAACTATGTACCAGTCTTGACTGCCTGCTTTAAAAATAAATCTGACAACTTCTCCACCGCTGAGCTCTCATGACACAAAGTGGAGGGGGACTCCTCCTATTGTTCTCTGCTTCGTATTCGGATGTCACTTTAAAATTAGATCCAGGTACTTAAATGTATATTTACCGATTAAGAAAGCTGTCACACAGAAATAATTTAAAAACTTTTATTAAAACATGTACCAGACTAGACTGCTTTTGCGTCTCCGTTGCTGACCATCGACATGATGCAGCTTACAGGCTGCAGCTGTTTTCTCCTCGACAGCCGATCGCTTGCTTTTAACATGAAAGCTGCGTCATAAGAAATTCTTTGCGTTTTCCAATATTGCTGAACAAACAAACAAGTCTCTGCATGAAGTGCAAAATCTGGTAACAACACGGGAACGATCTTAAGAAATGACCGTAATTGCTGTTGTATTAGCCGCTACTTTTGTCTCACACTTTGTACCCTGTGGTTTATATGCTGGAGTGTATTATTTATGTATTTTTTTTCATAATTTTCAAAATTAAAAAAATTTATTTTGAAGAACTTCCTGCCGTCTCTCAGTAGCTTCTTGCCACTGACAAATATTTTCCTTCGACAGAGCTGGATGCTCGTGGCTCCCAGCACCCGCCCCTCATGGGGGCAGGCGTTTGCGACACAAAGAAAATGCCCTCAGGTAAATTAGATGTACAACGACTCTTGTTCAGTTTCAAATACA